AAAGCAGTTCAGGTTCAAGGACATGGTCTCAAAGACCTTTTGCATACCAGGACCCCTTGACCCCTCTGATCCTACAGCCAGGTGCCACCTGTGGCTCTGGGGGGTTACCCTTATTACCTTGCATGGCATTTCAAGGGCACAGGAAACCTCAAAAAAATGGGCGTAACTTTGGTGCACAGTAACCCACTCTGAAAGAAACATCCAACCTCTCCTGCGAGTTTATGGCATTCCTTGCATTCCAGCGATGCTTTTGCCTAAATGGAACGTTTTGTCTTAAGCAGGGAGAATGTTTCCAACATGCTCTTGATTGTGAAACCACTGGAAGAGGCTCTTTACAGAGCTGCTCCAGTTTGGGTGGGCTTCTCCAATGGCTCAGCACTGCTTTCCATACAGCATCCAAGCAGAGAGATGCAAGGCTAAGTCTTTAAATGCAGACCCTGGAAAAGCCTGTGCCACCTTGGATTTCCACAACTGTAAAACTGGGGATACCAGTTATTTAACTTCTAGAAAGGACTGTAAAAAGGTGTTTTGAAAGCGTTGGAAGGTGTTTGGCTGACAAAAAAACCTGTTACCAGAAATGCTCTCCTTCATAAAATGGTGTTTGCTGATTTACACAAAACTGTTGACCATTTCTGTATCAAAACGAACACTTTGTATAAGCTTTTCTTATTTGTGTTTGGGAGGAGTTTCGGGCTCCTGCTTTATGTTCAAGCTGCAAATACAGCACTGCTACAGTGCTTCATTACTTGTGTTTCCAAATATCCTGACACTTAAGAAAATAAAAATTCAAATCCATTCAGCAGCTAGAGCAACATTTTAAATGCAAGCCATCTCCTTTACCACAGGTACAGACACACAGAATAATCATAATTTCATATAATGATGACAAAGAGGTAACTACTTTAATGATCAAAGGTGTCTGCAAATACAGGGATGTTTCTCCCTTGCATCCTTCTATTTGAATGTTAAATTTTTCTGCCACTGTACCAAATCTGGAAAACACTCCCATACAGATAAGCAAATGCTCAACTTTTACTCAGTGGAAACAGGACCCAGAGCAAGGTACCCAGTCCTGATCCAAGCATGTGCTTTCTTGCTCTCTCAAACCAAGGTCTTGTGCAGGTATTTCACAAATCTAAGTGCAGGAGGGCCTGATCCAAAAGCAGTGGAAGGTGCTATCCAATTCTGGGCAGTGATCCAATCCTGAAAAAGCCCCATTTGAAAAAAAAAAAAAAAGCAACTGTCCCACAGAAATCAATGGGAATAAGGCACTTGGCTTTTGGAGATGAAATACCCTGTTGTGACCCAGGGCTACCAATACCCAGGGCATTAGAAAATTCCTCCACTTCTTGCACAAGGATCTCTCAGCTTGGCTTCTTTCAAAAGAAAGACATGTGTTAAAGTATGCTTTGCTTGCACAGGGATTGATAACAACCTCTCATACATCTTTTCCTTTGATTGCTCTTGCAGAAAAAACGAGAGTAAAAATCTTTTGAAAGAACTGAGTACAAAATCCCTCTCCTACCTAGAAATTATTATATAAAACTTATAGCCTGGTGATCTAAGAGAGCCCTCTGAAAACATCCTTATGCCATTTGTCACTGGTTTATCTTCTTTTTCTCCCCGTTTTTTCCAGTTTCAGCTGGAAGGGCAGCAGCTGTGCTCAGTTGGAAGCAAACCCATTTTACTTAGAACCACTTCAAATTGCAAGGAGGTTGACTGATGGTGTTTCACCATTCAGAAAATGTCAGCCCATTACAATATGCAACACACTGTAACATCGTATGACCTCACAAATGTCAGAAGCTTCCTGAGAACTTTGCATCATTCATAAAAACAAAAAAAGTGTAAACCAGTGGTCTGCTAGCTCATCTCTCCTCCCTTTCAATGTAACTGGTCTAAGCAGGCAGTTAACTTACTAGAATAAAATTAATGAAATAGTCTGACTAAAATACTGAGATAATACATGAACTGGCAAAACCTCTATAAAGCTGAAGTTTCAATTTAAGTATGGGTAATGGACTGCATGTGTTGTAAGACCATCTCAGATCCGTGCTTGGGAAATTTAATAACCATTTTTGTTAAAGATAAATGTTTCCTACGTTTTGAGAATTTGGCTGCAAAATTAGGTTTTTATTTTGACTTGCTGATCTTCTATACGTACTGTTACCTTCCTGTAAAATTTCTGGATTAACAATACGCAACTCTTCACACAGATCTTAAAAAAATTAGTTATGGGTTTGCTGCAGGAGTTATTAGGTGAAGTTTTACAGCCTGCATTATATAACGAGTAAGATCAGATGATCTTAATGTTCCCTTCTGGACCCAAAATCTATGAACGTGTATTCCTAGAAAGAAAACAAGTCTCCAAGCATGGTTACTACTTCAACCGCAAAAAAGGAAGGAGTAAAATATGATTTATTTAAAACATGCACTAACGTTGTCTTCAGCCAGTTGCAACCACTAACCCTGCAAAAACATGCTACCAGGCTTCATACAAAGCAGTCAGGCATTGTACAGAAAGTTCAGCCCAACAATCAATGGAGAAACACCTAAGGATGTGTCTTCCGTATGAGGGAGCACTTGCAGCATAGGCAGTCAGTACTTTTGGGGAATGGACCACCCTCTATAATACGCAGGATCCACTGCTCACAGCCTGCTGGCTGACTCGGCACTCACACAGATGACAATAAAGAGGAAAAAAACCTCAAAGCCTCTGAGGACTGTCAAAAGCACCAGAAGAAGAACTTCACGGGAGTGTAAATAATCAACTAACAGCCCGAGAATATTATTTTGTCTGTAGATGGAAAAAGTAAAAATGGTCATCTCCTCCAAGAACATCCATAACAAAAAAAGAAGATGCTTCTAAGAAGCCCATTAAATGGGTACAGTCCTGCTCACATGTTCAAGTTTCTCACAGAAATATTGGTGCCTCTTTCACCCACTACCTCCCTGCTATGGAAAAACACTTCTTCAGAGTCTGGAAAATGCTGTTTGATCTCAGTAAATTACATCTCACTGCTTGTCAGTTTCTGATTGATGGTGTAACTTAGGGAACAATATCTGTGTGTGGAATACTGTCTGGAGAAGCAGTCAGGGATTATTGAAAATACAGTATTTATGCAGTTTAAAAATCAGTGGCACATTACGCACAACTTTTTTCTGGAGTGATGAAAAATTACTGAAGTGCATTTGGGAACAAAGGGTATAAGGTCTTTTGTCTATTTGTAAGAACACTCAACTGGTAAGACTTCTTAGTGAGTTAATAGTGATGGATGCAAGAAAAAGTGTCAACTGCAGTTGAGCATAAAGCCAACTGCTTCTCCGACCAATGGGCAGAAAGGAAGACGTCACTGTTCAACGGTGGTCAGAGAAGAGGGAAGAAAATAAAATTGAAGAAAAGACAAGGAAAATGAACCAAGGATCACTGATTTCTCTAAGCCATTTAAAACTACTGGAGAAGGAGGAAAAGTCTAAGGTTTCATCACACCACATGTTGTTTCTTCATCTATCTGATACGTCACAGTTAGTTGGAAAATTTTCAGACAACAGCCACTCCAAAAGAGCAGCCACCTCCTCAGCATAAATCATTCTGGAGTTACTGAATTCAAGGGCTCAGTGCTGATTTACACCAGCCACAGGTAAGACTTTATACACACCTCACCTTCCAAAACTTCATTTGAGTCCTTAAGGTCCTGTCATGACACAACCACTGTATTTTTTACCACAACACAAATGCAACAGACCCGAAGACATTGGCCACAGAAGAGCCATGACTGAAAACAGTTATGGAACCTACACAATATACATCCTTCCATCAGATATAAAGAGCAGAAGATTAATTTCAATGCATGAGTGCATCAAAGAAGCAAATGAGGATGGATGCTGTTGCCAGTGGTGTGATTCTGTGCAAAAAAAACCCAACAAAAAAACCCACAAAAATTTGCAGGTGTAAAGGAAAATAAATACTTCCCACAGACCACACAAAATTAAACTGCCATATTCATGAATTACTACAGAGAGACAAAAAGTGTGAGAAGACTACGTCACAATTCATGGAGTGCAAGTCTGCTGCTGGTAATGAAATGATGGTTCAGAGGCAATCAACAGATCAGTACACCTTTGAATGCTGTAGGAGTGTGAGGATTTTGGACATACGAAGTAGGATCACCCTACTCTTAGTTTCTCTTCTTGTTTCTCTAGCAGAAGTTACTGTCCCATTCCAGGGACAGGGAAGCAGGTCAATGGTGTTGGTCTACTCCAGCAGGGCCATGTTAACACCTGTGTGTGCACTCTACCTGCTACCAGAGCAAGGGAACAAGGAAGTGAGAGAAACATTGTCAAAACCACAGGGTAAATTCATCAACCATTTCCTGGAAATTATTGCAGATTATAGTAATCCTTAGGACAGCCAAGAAACACTGGATATGAAAAGAAAAAATTATCTGCAGTAGTTCTAAATTAAGTAACACGGTGTGATGAGTTTGAAAGCAAACAAGGAAGCAAGTCTGCAAAGGACTTCATGACACAGTTGGAATGCAGGAATAGTTCCCACATGTGGTTCAGAAAGGACACCAAAGGCTCAGTGGGAGGCCTGTGGAAAAAATCACGGACAGCATTTCTGAGAAGAGAAAAAAAATAGAGGAAAGACAATTCTGTGGTTGGGGCAAAGACAACTCTTTGTTCCTGTGAGGGAGCCAGGTGGTGAGCACCAAAGACAGTCCCTCGAGTGACTCTCTGTACACCTTCAAGACATACACAGGAGCAAAAAGGTACAACTAACTGTCCTCCTGAACCATGAGACTTCTGAAGTACAAGCTTGCACTACTGTGGAGCAGCAGCCCTACATTGCCACCGCGCTACAGGCCTTCCAGAAAACAGCCACCATCTTGTAAACACCTGCTTTCTGATGCCTAGCTTCCTTCCCAGCAGCAACCTACACCTCCCGGGTGCCTGCCCCAAGGCAAGGTGGTCCCAGAAACCCCGGTAGGTGCACTTACCTCTCGCTTTTGACTCCGAGTAGCAGGGGATGTCCTCAGAGGTCAGGATTTGTGGGAGGCACGTGGGAGCACCAACCCCCTGTCCCAGGTAGGAAGCAGGCGGGTAGTAGGAGCACATGTGGTACTGGGAGCCGACGGCGTGGTAGCTCTCCATGCCCTTCACCTGTCGGAGACAGAACCGCAACAGCAGCCTGTGAAAACTGAGCCCCAGCCCCCGCGAGCACCCCGCTGCCCCACATGCACACGATTTTGAAGGAGGTTGCAGAAGGCACATGGGAAATAAAACCCTGACGTGCTGGTCTTGGGTTTTTGCTTTGGCTGGCTCATGGCGTGCCCACATCGCCCAGCTACTGGTGAGCTGGCGTGGGACGGGATGTGACCTAGCAGCAGCAGCAGCACCGGCATACCTATGGCTGGTTTATCTTACCTCAGGTGAAGCTGCATCTGGCACACAAGCACATACTCTTCACTGCAAGGAGCTTCCTGGCAAGTTCCCTGCTTATGGCACAGACAACACCAGGGGAAGCTTTCCAGACCCCTTCAACTGCACGCACCTGGCCCATGTCAGAGAGGAAGCATCCATCCAGTCCCCACACCCCCCCAGAGACCAACCCATCTCAGACTGGTGGCAACAGCTCTGCCAAGGACCTACGGGGTGGCTAAGCAAGACAGTCCTACTGACTGGCTTCCTCAGGACACACTCCACGCTGTCTGTGCAGTGGCACACGCACACAAACACATTGCTTTTCTTACAACCCAGGGAGATGGAAAAAAATTTATTGATTTACCCAGAGAAACCAACTTGTGGACAGACTACATGGGAAGCCTGTAGTGGAGCCACAGCTGGACACCAGCCAGCAGGTCCACTGTGTCAGCATGGTGTCCATCAGACAACCCCTTCTCCCTCCCTCCCGGAGCATAAAGCAAAGTTGGCAGCACTCAGAAACCAAAGTTCACCCTACTCCAATGCCCTGAAATCATCCAAACTGATCTCCTCAGAGAGGTGGTAATGCTTTTTTAAATTTTTGTTTTATGAAAGAACTACCATCTGCTATTATTTGTTCCAAAGCTCTACAACGTAACGTGGCTACAGTGCTCCAAAAAATGCAGCCAAACACTTCACAGGATTAAGATTTTCAACAGGAAAGATAACACTACCTGGTCTCCCTAAGTCTGCTGGGCAGTGAATGACTGTAAGATGGAAAGCTTCTGGGCAGAGAAAAAATATTAGAGTTTTGTACCAGCTATAAAGGTAGCAGTGCCAACAGTAACGCACATCCAGCTAGGCCATTAGACGTCATCTTTGTAAGCAGAAGTGCTTGACAGCCTTTTCAGCTGCGTCTCACCTCAGTTAGAGGAGCTCTGCCCGCTCCACTTCGGTTCCCTTAGGTCCCAGGCAGCCGCGCATGGAGCCCTGCTCCTCAGCCCTTCCCAGGCTGCAAAACTCAGACCCGGGGAGCAGCAGAGGCAGGGGGTGAACCTGCTGTCCCAGACAGCTGCCCAGTGCCAGCAGACCCCCAGGGTCTGGTCCTGGCAGAAGGAGCCACCGGTGCCTCCCAGCAAAGCAGCCAGAATGCAGTCACTTCTTGTTTTCCAGGGGTCCCCTTAGTAATTTGATATTCATTTTAGTATGCCTAGCTGGAAATCACATGGCCCAAGTCACATAAAATCCTGCTGGTTCTCTCTGAGACGAGGGCAACATCCTCCTTTCCATGTGGAGCCAGGTTTGCAGCGAGATTAAGTGCTGAGAGAGAGCAGTGGTTGTTTACAGGAAGCAAAGTGCACCTCTGCCTGCCTTCTGATAGCAGCACAGCTGCACGTATTTGCATGTGTACTGAGGGATTTGCACAACACGCTTTTAGTCTGTGAAAGAGGTTTTCTATTATAAGTTAAAGCAGTACTTAAAAGGTGATTTTTCTACCATCTGCACCCTATGCGTGCAGAAAAAGTTCAACAGGTACCGAAGTTTCATCCATGATAAATAGTAAATGCACTTAAAATATTTAATGTGTCATCCCAAGGAAGCCTGAACTCAAAAGAACCACTGACATCCCCTCTGCTATTCTGAAAAAGGGCAGTCTGCTCTTGGAAGCTAACATCTGTACTTTGCACAGACTCCCTCAATAAAACCCAGGCTGCCTCTGCCCTGAAATTATGGACTAGCAATACAAACTGCTCAAAATCTCAGTCCAAAAGCCATTTTGCATCTGCACATCTGCAAAGCTCAACAGCTCTAGAAGTACTGGGGAAATAAAGTTAGCAAACTCCTCTCTGCCTGCCATTTTGCACACACCATCTTCCTTCCCTTGGTGGGGCAGGGCTGTGGGCAGCATCCACGGTTGTCACTTCACCACCTCTCCCTTGTGCAAGTGCACATGTGCAGGTGTACAACTGAGAAAAGGTTGCCTGCAGGAGACAGCATTATTTCAGCTGTAACAAAATGGAGGGATCATTCCCTGGCAATGAAACGACCACATGCGTGCCTCCTCTCCCTGTAGAGTGGATGCGGTGACCTGTTTCCTTTCAGACCTTTTTTAGGGTTTTTCTCCATTTCTTAAAAAAACAACTCACCTAAAATCTCTGGATGCAATGAATTATTACTACTATTATTATTAGTGTGTGGTAGCTGGCTAGCAAGAGACATGTTTTATAATCTTATTACCCACACCAAGTCTATGAACCACAGTTCGACCGACAGCCAGAAGCTTGGCTTTGCAAAGAATATGCTGTGTATTAACTGCTGAAGAAAATCTAAGCTTTTGGTTTTGTTTTATTAAACTGTTTAGAATACACACCACAGTAAATCTGAACCATAAGGTTTCCTTTTTATAGTGCTTAGCAATCCTATTTTACAGTAACAATAAAAAAACAACCAGTCGTAAAAATTCTTGACCTTAGCGCTGCATTAAAAACGGGACTTAGGAGATCATTACCCCATGAGAAGGGGCATTTGCTCTGTATTAACTCCTGCAGCTCTGGAGAGTCCTTGCACATTTTTGGGTGCCCGCAAGGGAGATAAAAATAGCCCTGGGGAGGGCCTGGAATATTCAGATTATTTCTAACGTGAGGCAGTTCAGCCTTCCAAACGCTGCAGCCACATGCCAGGTTTGGGATCCTTCCCTGGGTCCTGTCCTTGGGAAACGCTGGGCTCATGTGGGGATCACAGGAGGAGACACCTAGCCCTCTGGTGTCTCCTCCTGCCTCCCTCGCCCCTTCCAGCCCTACAGCAAGGCCAAGACAGGCAAGGGTCCTAAAAGCCACTCTGGTTTCTATCACCACAGCCTAGGCGCTGTAAGAATGAGGCATGTTTTAGGTGAGGAAGTGCTGTGGAAGGGAAGGGCATGCACTTGCTCTTTGCAGAAAGCAAGTTAGGCTCCTGAGTTGAACATCTAAGTTGCTGACTTACAGTGTATCCCCTTCCACCCGCACATCGCTCGTGCCCTGCCCCAGCTGCAGGATTGATTCACCAAGCACCTCACTCCCTTCAGTGGGAGACACAGATCATCGGAGAAGCACATTTGGCCTATTCAACATTTATGGGTTCCCCTAAATTATACAACACAGCGCACACTCAGTAACTTTTTAAAGGAAGTACTGCAAGCAATAGTAGGATGCTTATAACTCATGAACAAATAAATATGGCCTGATTAAAAGACTGTGCATGCAGTGGAAATTCTTCCCCTGCTCCCTTGTAAAGCCAATATGGGGAATCAAGAGGCAGCTACAGCTTGTCCACAAACAGGCAAGCTGGAAGCAGGATTTGTCCGTCACTGAGCACAACAGCCAGTGCAGCCCTATAGCAGTGCCCAACAGTGACAGAATATGTAGCAAAAGCCAGAGAAGCATGAAGAGAATGCTCTTAGAATCACAGAATCATAAAATCATTTAGGTTGGAAAAGACCTTCAAGATCATAGAGTCCAACCATCAACCATGCCCACTAAACCATGTCCTGAAGTACCTCATCTATTCGCTTTTTGAATACCTCCAGGGATGGTGACTCCACCACTTCCCTGGGCAGTCTATTCCAATGTCTGACAACCTTTCAGTAAAGAAATTTTTCCTAATATCCAACCTACATCTCCCTTGCCGCAACTTGAGGCCATTTCCTCTTGTCCTATCTCCAGCCACCTGACAGAAGACACCAACACCCACCTCACTGCAACCTCCTTTCAGGCAGTTGTAGAGAGCGATAAGGTCTCCTCCCCTCAGCCTCCTTTTCTCCAGGCTAAACAGCTCCAGCTCCCTCAGCCGCTCCTCATAAGACTTGTGCTCCAGGCCCCTCACCAACTTGGTTGCCCTTCTCTGGACACGCTCCAGCACCTCAGTGTCTTTCCTGTAGTGAGGGACCCAAAACTGAACACAGGACTCGAGGTGCGGCCTCACCAGTGCCCAGTACAGGGGAACAATCATCTCCCTGCTCCTGCTGGCCACACTATTTCTGATACAGCCCAGGATGCTGTTGGCCTTCTTGGCCACCTGGGCACACTGCTGGCTCGTATTCAGCCGGCTGTCGACCAACACCCCCAGGTCTTTCTCTGCCGGGCAGCTTTCCAGCCACTCTTCCCCAAGCCTGTAGCGCTGCATGGGGTTGTTGTGACCCAAGTGCAGGACCCGGCACTTGGCCTTGTTGAACCTCATACAACCAGCCTCGGCCCATCAATCCAGCCTGTCCAGATCCCTCTGTAGAGCCTTCCTACCTTCAAGCAGATCAACCCTCCCTCCCAACTTGGTGTCGACTGCGAACTTGCTGAGGGTGCACTTGATTCCCCCGTCCAGATCATTGATAAAGGTATTAAACAGAACGGGACCCAACATGGAGCCCTGGGGAACACCACTTGTGACCCGCTGCCAACTGGATTTCACCCCATTCACCACAACCCTCTGGGCTCGTCCATCCAGCCAGTTTTTTACCCAGCCAAGAGTACACTTGTCCAAGCCATGAGCCACCAGCCTCTCAAGCAGTATGCCATGAGAGACAGCGTCAAAGGCCTTGCTGAAGTCCAGGTAGACAACATCCACAGCCTTCCCCTCATCCACTAGGTAGGTCACCTGGTCATAGAAGGAGATCAGGTTGGTCAAGCAGGACCGGCCTTTCATGAATCCATGCTGACTGGGCCTGATCCTCTGCTTGTCCTGGACTTCCCATGTGAGTGCTCTCAAGA